GCGAGCCCACGCTCCCTCTAGGAAAAACTTCTCCAAAAAAAAAAAAAATTATGCCAGGCATATGTGTGTATGTGCTCAGAAAAGAAGGAGTGGCAGTGTGCCCATCCCCCTGGGGAGAGGGCTGGTTTCTCACTTTTCCCTTTCTCTGTCTCTCTCCAGTGAGTGCATGCACCCTATGGCAAAAACATATATATATATATATGAATTAATACCTGAGGAACAAGAAGGATCCTGACAGGTGAAGCTGCCATGGCAGGCAGAGAGAACAGTAGGTGCAAAGGCCCGGCACAAGCAGGAGGCAAGGGGGGCGGGAGCTGGAGCGTAACTGATGGAGAAGAGGGTGATGGGCAAAGCCTGCAAGGTGGGCGGGGCTCCTCGCCAAGGGTCTTGCAGCTGCGGTGAGACAATGGCTTTCACTCTCAGTGCAATTGGGAGCCCCTGGGAAGCTTTCAGGAGGGAACAACATGACCTGGTTTGTGTTTTGAAGGGACTTTCTGGCTGTGCTGGGGAGGGTAGCTGGCTAATGGGGAGCAGGATGGCCCCTGCTGTTGGAATGGCAGGCACCCCTGTGCTCACACCCCAGGGGAAAGACCAGGGCTCAGCTCTCTCCTGCCCACACAGGGAATGTAGGTCAGGCAGCCCAGCTTCCTCAGCCACGCCGCCAGTGCAGCCCCCTCGCCTGTCAGGGAGAAAACACGGAGTCTGAGATGTGTGGGCTCGGCTGGGAGATCAGTGCTGGCAGGGGAGGCCGAGATAATAGCCACCCAGATGCAAGGATCTGGGCCACCACTCCGGGTCCCTTCATCGCCCTTTCTAGGGTGCCTCCCCCTCTACCCCTCCATCCCCGTAGGATCTCCCCGAGAGGCAGGCCAGCCCAGAGGCAGGCCTCAACCTGTGCCTGGAGCAGGCAGCCGTATTTTAAGATCAGGGCTCAGACCTCTCAATAAACCATAAACAAAGCCAGCTTCCCTGGTACAGAAGGAGACGGCTCCATTTCTCTTCAGCGCAGTGACTGGGAAATAAACAAGTGGCTCTGCCTGTCACATACACTTAACCCCACAAAGGCATCTGTCAGACCCACGAGCTTCTGGAGCTTCTGCCTCAGCCTTTCCAAGAAATAACTGATGTGCCCAAACTCGGGCTTCTCCCCGCGGACTCCGAGTTACTGTGCCATTCACAGGAAGGCAGGTATGGGGGCTTGTCCCTGACCCCAGCTCACAGGAAAGCTGACAAAGACAGGAGCAGACAGGCCCAGGGCAGCCGGCCCATGTTACAGAGCTCCCGGCTGGGGAAGGGGACAGAGGGAGGGAGGGAGGAAGAGGAAGAAAAGGTGAGGTGCAGGGGTTTGGCAGGATGGGAGACAGGCTGAGAGGGGCGTGGTGTGGGCCCTGTTAGAGAAATGAGAGAGCTGAGAGACCCTGGGGCCCAGACAGAGCCCTGGCAGTGTGCGAACGCAGCAGCTGTGAGTGTGGGAGAAAAAAGAAACAGAAGGCTGAGGGGCTCTCTCCATGGGTGAAATCTCCCACGGCCACAAAGGAAGGAGGAATGAGCAAGAACAAAAACAGGAGCAGACGGAGGCAGGCAGATAAATAAAGCAGGGGAGAAAGGAAAACCCCAGCGTCATCAAATCCGGGCGTGCCTAGGAAGAAGGACCCTCCTGACGCAGCAGGAGAAGGTGATGCATGCATTGAGCTGAGCCAGGGTCAGGGGCCCAGGCCAAGGCTAGTAGGGGGGTCTGGGAATGGTGGCATGTAGCCAAAGTCGCACGGACATGTGGCAGTGAAGCAGAAGGGGGCTGTGAGCTGTGGAGGGGCAGAAGGCGGGCAGTCCATGGTGAGAGGACTGGGGTGAGGGCTAACGAGAGGCCCAGGGCCATGAAGGCTGTCTGTCTCTGCTCAGGGCAGCTGCAGCAGAGAAACCTCCCAGCCACTGCTGCCCCCAAAGTGTGGGAGGGGATTGAAAAGGGTGAAAGAGGCAGTGACACATGATCACACACGCACTTAAGCACACACGCCCTCAGCAATGGCTGCACGCGCTCAGCGGTATTCCCATGGGGATGAGGGAGACCCAGTGGCCCCCAAACCACAGCCCAACCAGGTGAAGGAGAACCACAGCCTTCAAATGGTCGATCTCACAGACCTAGAAGGACGCGGAGGTAAGCATGCATCACAGCTCAGACCCTGAAAGGAACAGACATGGAGGCAAAGGCAGCAGATACCAGGTCTCTCTCACACACACTCATGCATACACACGCCCTTTCAGAGAAAGGAAACCTGTGTGGCCCTCACCACCCTATTCTTCCTCCCTGGAATGTGGTTGTCTCCCAGAAATCTCCCAGGCGTGCATTGTTGTATAAAGCCATCTCGGCAGGCAGCACACCTGCACGCACACCCACACACCTACTGGGAGTCAAGTAGCTGGCACAGGGACGGGTCAGACTACAATCCTGGAGACCCCCCATGAGGTCAGGGCGACAGTCCTTCTAGGGCCCTCCTAAGCACTCTAGCACTGCACAGAGCACCTCTCCAGCTGGGGTTTGCTCCCCACTGAGGCTACGGTGGCTGCTGTGAGACTGGAGCCCCCCCTTTCAGGGGCCTTCCCATGACTTCTGACCAAGACGTATCAACACTTGCCCCCTGCTATGCTCACACACCTCATGTGCACCCGTCTTTGCAATTAGGGACCATGGAAAAGGGCCGAGAGACCAAAGGGAGAGGTCCCTCAGGAACTGGGGTTCATTTACCAGCTCAACCCAGCAGGCAGGGCCTTAATTCTAATACTAGGAGTCCAAGAGCTCAGATCCAGGTCACAGGTCTTGACGGGGATGCATCTGAGCACATTAAGGCTGAGCTCACAGCCCACGATCTCCACTGTGCTGCACGCACACAGCTGCCAGTAAGTATATGCGTGCACACACTTGACCTTGTCTCAGGCCCACAGAATTGTCCACTGCATACAGCACACGGCCTGCACACCGCACTGACACAGCCTGGACTCTCCCCACCTGTCAGAGGGCCCATTTAGATCAAGGCTGTACGCTGAAAACTCTCACTGTCCTTACACTACACACACTCACAAGGTTCCACGCTCTCCCGCAGCCCACACGGCACACCACACCACACCACACACCACATCGGTCTGTACACACGGTGCCCACACAGAGTTCCCAGGCAGAACTCCGTGACTCCCTCCCACGCCGGTGGGGCCTGAGCTCCCGCCCCTGCAAGCTAAGTTGAGTTCGACCTGGGATTTCTCGGCCCCCTCGTCTCCCCTCCAGTTCCTGTTCCCCAACAACCCCACCCTTGAGCTTCAGGAAACTTTCATCTGGTCTTGGAAAGAGGGAACCAGGAGTTCCTCCCGTCTTGCCCTACTCCTGGGCACGTGCAAGCTGCTCCCAGCTCTCGCCAGACTCAGTGGGAAAAGGTCACCGTAGGCAGCCCTCTGCCTGCCTGGGGGTGGTGGTGATAACAGCTGTCACTGGGGGATGGGTAGGGGACAGGCAAAGGTGCCGGCCCAGAGCCGAGCCAGGGACATAAGGGGGTCGCTGTGACGCGTCAGAGGAGCTCAGAGACGCGGCGGCGGCAGCATCTTCAGAGTCTGGGGCCGAGGCCGCGCCCCGGGCTGAAGCGCGCGGAGCTGTCCGTTCAGCACCACCGCGCCGCGCCCATCGCAGGGCCGAGCCAAGGCGCACCGGCTCCGCTCCCGCTCCGGTTCCGCGGGCGCCGGCGGCGTGGGCTCTTGCCTCTCTCGGGGTGAGCGGCGCGCGGATCCCGGGTGGCGGGGGGGCGCTCTGCGAGCGTCTGTGTCACGCAGCCACCTGTGAGCCTCCGGTAACTGCAGGCAGCGGCGGCGTTCCTGGCCCGAGACAGCAGGAGACTCACGGCGGACCCCGCCCGCCGGCCCGCCGGGCGCACACACAGGCGCACACACACTCGCACCCGCGCGCACACGCACAGCCAGCTAGCAGCGGCGACCGCCGCGATGCTCGCCAGCAGGTCGGGGAAGTTTCCCGCCGGCCTCGGCCGCAGGCGCCAGTGCTCCCAGGTAAGCGCTTCCAAAACCCGCAGGGAGAGCCAGGGTAGCCCCACTGGGTAAGGCGCAGTGCACGCGGCCCCGGGGCACAGCGCCAGGAAGGCGAGAGGACCCGGGGTGGGGGGCGTGGGGGTTCCAGTCGTGGAGGCGGGACACAGGAGACGCCGGCCCGTCCCCCTTCCCCCCGGCCGGGGTCTACAAACTCGGATGGTGAATTTCCCCGCCCCCCTGCCAAAGCTACGCGCCCCTCATCTCGGCCCAGCCCTGCCGGTGCATATCTCAGCTCCGGTCCCGCCTGTCTGCGGCGAGCGGGCGGGGGCGTCTCCTCCGCCTGCCCACGGGCAAGGTCAGCACGCAGCTCCCCTGGGCTCTCAGAACGGCGGGGGTGTCCCCCAGGCAAACAAAAAGATTTCCAGGACCCTCGGAGAGGGGGCTGCAGGCGCGGCCATGCTAGTGGAAACGTACCCCTCCCAGCCTTTCCTTGGGAGGGGTCCAAATCCCGCAGAACGGCTCTCCCACCCCAGGTCCCTTCAGCACCCAGAGAGCCCCCTGGAGACGACTGTGCCCGCCAGAGACCGGTGGAGAGAAAGAGAGGGCTCTGGGGCCGGGCGCTCACGACAACGGCGTTCCCTCCGCTTCCAGGTGTAGCGCCCCCGCGCGGCGCGGGCGGCTGGGCGTCTCCAGCATGACCGGCCAGAGCCTGTGGGACGTGTCCGAGGCCAACGTCGAGGATGGAGAGATCCGCATCAACGTGGGCGGCTTCAAGAGGAGGCTGCGCTCGCACACGTTGCTGCGCTTCCCTGAGACGCGCCTGGGCCGCCTGCTGCTCTGCCACTCGCGCGAGGCCATCCTGGAGCTCTGCGACGACTACGACGACGTCCAGCGCGAGTTCTACTTCGACCGCAACCCTGAGCTCTTCCCCTACGTGCTGCATTTCTACCACACTGGCAAGCTGCACGTCATGGCCGAGCTGTGCGTCTTCTCCTTCAGCCAGGAGATCGAGTACTGGGGTATCAATGAGTTCTTCATTGACTCCTGCTGCAGCTACAGTTACCACGGCCGCAAAGTGGAGCCGGAGCAGGAGAAGTGGGACGAGCAGAGCGACCAGGAGAGCACCACGTCCTCCTTCGATGAAATCCTAGCCTTCTACAACGACGCCTCCAAGTTTGACGGGCAGCCCCTGGGCAACTTCCGCAGGCAGCTGTGGCTTGCGCTAGACAACCCTGGCTACTCGGTCCTGAGCAGGGTCTTCAGCATCCTGTCCATCCTGGTGGTGCTGGGCTCCATCATCACCATGTGCCTCAATAGTCTGCCGGACTTCCAGATCCCTGACAGCCAGGGCAACCCAGGCGAGGACCCGAGGTTCGAAATCGTGGAGCACTTTGGAATCGCTTGGTTCACATTTGAGTTGGTGGCCAGGTTTGCTGTGGCCCCTGACTTCCTCAAGTTCTTCAAGAATGCCCTCAATCTGATCGACCTCATGTCCATCATCCCCTTTTACATCACTCTGGTGGTGAACCTGGTGGTGGAAAGTTCCCCGGCCTTGGCCAACTTGGGCAGGGTGGCCCAGGTCCTGAGGCTGATGAGGATCTTCCGCATCTTAAAGCTGGCCAGACACTCCACCGGCCTGCGCTCCCTGGGGGCCACCTTGAAATACAGCTACAAAGAAGTGGGGCTGCTTTTGCTCTACCTCTCCGTGGGCATCTCCATTTTCTCTGTGGTGGCCTACACCATTGAAAAGGAGGAGAACGAGGGCCTGGCCACCATCCCTGCCTGCTGGTGGTGGGCCACTGTCAGCATGACCACAGTGGGGTATGGGGATGTGGTCCCGGGAACCACAGCAGGGAAGCTGACTGCCTCTGCCTGCATCTTGGCAGGTATCCTCGTGGTCGTACTGCCTATCACCTTGATCTTCAATAAGTTTTCCCACTTCTATCGGCGCCAGAAGCAGCTTGAGAGTGCCATGCGCAGCTGCGACTTTGGAGATGGAATGAAGGAGGTCCCATCGGTCAATTTAAGGGACTACTATGCTCATAAAGTTAAATCCCTCATGGCAAGCCTGACGAACATGAGCAGGAGCTCACCAAGTGAACTAAGTTTAAATGATTCCCTCCATTAGCGAGGAGGACTTGTCACCCTCAAACCTACATTGCTGAGCTGCCTCTTAGGTCTCTGGCATAGTCCAGGCACCTCAGGGTTATGGCCTAAGGAGTATGTCCGACCACAGAGGGGAGAGCTGCATGGGATATGTGCCCAAGGTCGCTTTGACAATAGTCAGAATCATTTTTAAAGGGTGGTGTGTCTGACACCAGGCCTTTGCCCCTTTCAGCGAATGACACTCACTGGTCTTTGCACTGTGAGCATAAAATGTTCACCTTTCCGCCGGATGAGTACCGTACCCAGAATGCTAACTTTTCTGTTCACTGTGTACACTATTCTAGTGCTCGTGGCCCAGTGCCGTCTGTGAGTTGTCTGTGCTCCTGTTACTCAGGTTGTTGTGTGAGTTCTGTTCCAAAAGCCCCCACATGTCTACCTAGTGGAAACGCATCTATGCGGTCAGCAAGGATATCATGAGATTTTGCTCCCCGTCACGTGACAACAAAATCTCAGTTCTTTATCCATGGCTTTCACTTCGTTTTAATACCAAAACAAAGAGAATGCAAAGTTGCGCGTACACGACCAGTGCCAAGTCTGTGAGCTGTCCTTATAAATGACCTATAGCCCTGTGGCTGCATGGATGCACCCATTGTCTTTAGAACGATGTACACTGATGTTTATCTCGTAAATGTCACTCTAGAGAATGTTACTCTGTTCAACATGTAGTGAAAATCGAAAAATTTTCTACAAGTAGATGCACTTAGGGACAGGAGCTTCAGTTAAATCTAGACCCAGGATGCTTAACGCCGAGTCAGTGCAAGCCGAGACCTTTCTTTCATTGTCAGGCCTCCATCTTTCCTAGGGTGATCGTAGAGACATTTATTTCTGGCTGAAGTTCCTTGTGTAGGCCATTTGACCAAATTTTTGCTATGTCTCAGATATTCGCATGATCTTGGAATACTTGTTTTTCAGAGATGTTTAGGAATAAGGTTGTGTTGTCTTTCTCAACTAAAATAAGATTTCCTGTTGTATTGTCTCCCGGAGGTGAACATCGTTGGGTTGCTAGCAAGCACAGTACCTTTAATACTTTTGTCGCCTGCTTTGAGAACTCATAAAATGAGAGTGCTTTTATTTCCAAGCAGACTTTACTCAGATAATGTTGCTTCTAGGATACAGTGTGTTGTATACGATGTGATGATTGCCCTGGAGTTCCTGCCACGACATGGAAACCCGGTGGCATCGAAGCATGTACTCAAACATAGACGTGCACAGGTCGGGTGGCCAATCCGGGCAGGAAACACATAGCTTTTATTTCTATCCCAACTGCCTTTTGTTGGGGGAGGGTGGATAAAAGCCAGGAGAAAGGCAAGAGTTGTAAAATGAGAAATTGCTTCTTTGTAAAATGGCATAAAATTGTGTAAACTTTTTGAAAAGCTTAACGCTATCAAAAAGGCCTTTAAACTTCTAAACTTAGGCTGAAGAGAGACTCTCCTTCTCCAAAGGGCCGCTTCCTCTTCTTTAGTGAACTAGCACTATCATTGTCAAGGGGAACCTGGGTCCCTTTGGCAGCTCATTCTTCGCCATCATCCTTTAGATAACTGATAGTTTTCCAGGTGGGTTTCTTATCGACCAGTCTTTGTAAAGGCTGCAGAAACCAGGGGTCTAAGCATGAAGTTAGGCAGCCTTTTTATTCAAGTCTTGGGCCTCCTCTTAAGAGATCCATTTTGTGATTGTTGTTGGTTGAGGATAATACATACCTCACAGGGCTGTGAAGAGGATCTTCTTGGAGGGCTTTGTGTACTTAGAGTTGCCATAGCAACTATGGTGTGTGTGATTTGTTGGATGAATGCACTAGCCACGTGTGCTCTTGAGTCCCTAGTTCAAACTCTTGCATTAGACTGGAGTCTCATGGAGGGCAGGGAGGTGACCACCTCCTAGTGCTTATATGCAGATGTGGCTACACCTGTTTCTACATCAGGATTGCTGAGATGACTTAGGGGCAGTCTGCCTCTAAGTCAGAAGAGCAGGATTAGTTTTCAGAATTTGGGCATGAAACAGTTGGCTTTGGCTGATGTTTCCAGCACTCAAAAGCAGAAAATTTACAAAATCATCCCCAGCTGCACTGGAGGCAGGTGATGGTACAGCTTGTGGGAGATTTCTGTTGGCCAAGGCTGATGGTATTAGGTCACTGAGCGTGGTAGCCATGGTCACTGACCGTGAAGCTTGTGCAAAGTGGAAACAAGGAAAGAGGCAGAATAACTCAATTACTCCTATGAGTATTTTTCTAAACAAGTAGGCTTACCACTAAAATAGAGGTACCCCTAGTGGATACCCTGTGCAGATGTGAAAGCTGGAAAACTTGACTTTTCTTTTTGGTAATGACTTGCATTTATCTGGTGCCTTTCATTGGGGGAATCCCAAAGTGCTTTAGAGACTGTCTTTTTAACATTTCTTGTACATATATGTATATATATTTACTTCTTTAAAATATTACTTTGCCCATCTGGACCTTCAGTCACTCCTGAGCATGAGACTGTCCTAATGGCACTAAGTAGTGGTTTTAGATAACTGGGAGAGTGAGCAACCCGGGTGACTCCAACACTGGACTTCATTCCCATGAAACACACAGTCTGAACTCTGACCCGGGAAGAAATCATCTTATCCATCAAATATCACAGGATATGGAGTTCACAAATGATCTTGATGGGGTCTTTGACCTTGCTAGAGAGTTCGTTCTGGTCCATGAAGCTAACCAGGGAGGGCAGGTTAATTTTCTGCTCTGTTCTTGGCATAAAGGTTCCAAGTGTGAGGTGACATCTTTGTCCAACAGGCTGTCAGACTGACCCATAAATCTTTAGGGGGATAGTAGAAACCGAAGATCACTTATTTCTAGTTGTCAGCTTGATCACGGCTTCACTCACTCCCAAAATTCGAAGGTAGGTATTTGCGATGCCACTGGGACAAATAATGGCGAGACGTTTTCACAACATACGTGCGGAGCACTGTGAAAGCGCTCGGCTGGGCAGCGGCACCTGCCTGTTGCCCAGATGCACGTCACTTACAGGTTTGTGTTTCCCGCCAAACCCCCACAGGTCCTGGGTTTGCTGCTAACGAGGGGCATGTTGTAATGCCGAGCTAATTTGTAGCTCATGAGGTAGTAATTGATATTTAATACTTGGATTTGTCATTTCTACTTATTAGCACTCAAATAATTGAGCTACCTGCTAATTCTTGCCTCATTTTAAAGAAAATGATTTGTTATGCACTTTGGGAAAGCGGTGATCTGTACGGGCTGTGTGTTATCTACTTGAAGGCTTAACTGGTATACCTTGTATGTTCTAACAGCATGACTTGTTACAGACTTGTAATTTTAAAAACTGAGAACGCTGTATTTGCAATGTCAGTGTTAACACTCATTAACACACTACCGTGCAAGTATTGATGCAGGCTCTGCTAAACCGTTATGTCTGACGGCTGCACTTTCATCTCCGTGCCTCGACTGGGGAGCGAGGAGTGACACTGACACACTAGGTCTCCAGCCTTGAAAAGTACACAGATTAAATGGCAAGAATTATTTATGCTTTTTCAAGATACTTCAGTTACATACAGAGTGGCAAACACAGCAAAGGCATTTGAAGTTGGGGCCGATGTCCAGAGGAAGGCTGGGGATTTGAGCAATTGTTGGGAAGGAAACGTTTGTTCTTTGCAGGCAGATAGGACTGGGGGTCCTTCTCCCCACCCCAGCCCCAGGATCTAGAGCCACTAGCCTGCTTTAATGGTTATGTATGCTTGGAGTCTAGTGAAACAGAGACCCTGTGGGGTCTTCCTCTGGCACACTGTTGAGCTCAGCACCTCTGATGGCCTGCCGTGACAACTGCACCTTGTCCCGGTTGTCCCTTTCCCTGCTGCTGAAGTTGCTTCCTGATAGGTTGGGGTGACTCTGAATGTCCTGGCCGGCTGTGAATACTGCTGGCAGGTCAATGGAGCCAGTTCTTAGCACTACTTCACTCAGACTTGGAGTCGGACTGTTTTAGGCCCATGTTAATCAGTAGGGAGGGCACTGGGCTAATGGCTCTGCTCGGTTTTGCCTGCCAGGCTGCTACAGTAGGCACAGCACCCAGTGTCTCTGAGTCTCACTTTCCACTGTTGCAAAATGAGGTTGAACGAGTTCACCCTTAAAGCCCAGCCCAGCTCACCTCAATGTAAAAACAGACCTTCTGCATGCCCTCGTGTCCTCCTTATAGCAGGGAGCACATCCCAATATCCTTAATTTATTTTTAAGCACAGCAGAGAAACTGCTTGAAAACAAGCTTTTATTTGGTATCAGTTCTTTCTCTTCGGCACTCAGCCCCAGTCAATGACAGTTTTAGGGACAACAGTACCAAGGAAGTGCTTGGGCTAGTATCTTTTCCAAGTGAATGGAATTTTAAAGTTATCTGCAGGTGTCTCTTTCGGGCTTTAAACAATTTACACCTGATCCAAATTCCTGTGATTAAAAATTATTAGAAAAATCACATTGGTCCCATTTGGCTTTAGGGCTACTCTCTGCTCATTTTTGCTCCTTTTGTGAAGCTGGGTGGCTCCTCACTGTGGCTTCTCTTCTCCTGGGACCATGAGGTTGTAGTACTTCATGCAGGGCATGTAGGAGTACAGGGCACATGGGGTCCCCACCACACTATGCGGCAGTAGGGGTCCTCCTCTGAGGAAGCTGCAGGGGGGCTGGGACCTGTGTCAACCTTGCCCCTGGGCTTGCTGAGGCCAAGATAGGAAGCGGCAGGTCAAAGTGCTCCACTGAGAAAGCTCTCGAACCTCACTGCAGGCCTTGCATTCCCACGGAGGGGGGTTAACTCTACTTCTCTCTCTAGCTGCTCTCCCTCTGGCAGAGGTATAAATGGATATTTGGGGGTATTTTGGGGGCCAGGATGCCTTGCATCTTAAGAGGAAAAACAAACACCCCCTCTTGAGGGAAGAGCTTAAACAGTACACTTACATGGTCATTATCTCTTATTTTAGGAGAACATTTAACTACCATTTCTAGTTATATGGGTGGCGCATTCAGTAGATATGGCTGATCTGAAAGCTGGCAAGATTTCCCTCCCCTGTGGCCTCATTTATCAATATAACCATCCTCCTGGCTAAATTCTCCCGAGCAGATGACGGTGTCTGCCACTCACAGGCCGACGCAGTCAGAAGAATGGAGACAAACATGGCCTCACAGACCCGGCGAGGGAGGCAATGCTGGCACAGATGAGGATGAAAGGGCAGGCATCCTAGGGCTGGTGTAAGCTCCTCTGGAAGGAAAAAGACATAGGAGGAAAGCCGGGGAAAAAGGGGGGGGGGGGGGGGGAGGGTTTAAAGGAAAAAA